CAGCCGGCACCTGGACGCTCACCCACCCGTGGCGCCCGTCGAAGGTCCCCCGCAGCCCCCGGGGGGTCTGCAGCTCCACGGCCCAGCCCCGGGGCTCAAGGACCACCCCCAAGGTCCCCACCACGTAGGGCAGGTGGATTGACTTGCTGTTCACCTGTGGGGAGAGGGGAGAAACAGTGGTGAGGAGGTGCCATGGGAGTCCGGCGGTCCGGCATCCATCTCCAGACCTCCTGGAGCCCACGTAGTTGCTACTTAGGCTTCACTCACTCGCTACTCACGGTTTACTCACTCACTACTTACCATGTGGCCTCCTGGACCATTTTTGGTGAGGACCATACCAGACCAATCCGATTGACTCACTACTCATGCTTTGCTCACTCAGTACTCACCACGTGGCCTTCTGAACCATTTTTGGTGAGGACCAGACCAGACCAAGCCAATTGACTCACTAGCCTGCTGGACCACTTGGGGTGAGGACCAGACAGGACCAAGTCTCATTGACCCAGAATGACTCACTACACACCCTTTACTCACTCACAACTCGTGCTTTACTCACTCACTACTTGCCACTTGGCTTCCTTGACCTCTTGAGGTGAGGACCAAGCTGACTGACTCATGCTTTACTCATTCACTCCTCAGAGGCGTAACCCCTGGGTAAGGAGTGCCGCCCGGTGCTCACCGTGACATGCCCAGCCTCCAGTGCCACGTGGGTATGCTGCACCAGGACCTCAGCGGCGGCGATGCCTCCGCGGCCACCCCGCACCAGGACGCGGAAGGGCTCAGGGCCCCCTGCGCTGGGGCAGAGCCCGGCCAGGAGGTAGACACAGGTGCCAGGGAAGTCGTGGTGGAGCCGGTCGAAGGTGCGGAAGTGGCCAGCGCCCAGGGCTGAGCAGGTACCAGTGACGGGAATGGGGACGGGGATGGGAACAGGGACAGTGGTGGTGCAAGGCTCATGGGGGTGGTTGTGCGGGCAGGATGGGGCTGTGGGAACAGGTGGTGCAGTGGTTAGAGTGGTCCTCCCTTCTGGCTGGGCTGTTGACCATCCATCAGCCCAGCCATCCTTCTTGAAGAGTTCTCCATCCCTCCATCCATTTCGCCATCCTCCCCTCCATCCACCCCTCCATCCATCCCCTCATCCACCCCCATCCATCCCGCCATCCATCCCTCCATCCTTCTTCAGTGGTTTCTCCACCCATCTGCCCACCCATCTGTAGTATGTTCTGTATGTTCCCATCCATCCATTCATCCATCCTTTTCACTTGTTTCTTCATCTATCCATTCAGTATTCTTTACCTGTCTCTATCCATCCACCCCTCCATCCATCTTTTCATCTGTTTTCCCATCCATCCTTTCCACCAGTTCATCCATGTCCATTCATCCATCCTTCTTCACCTGTTTCTTCATCCATCCCTCCATCCATCCATCAATCCATCCTTCTTTACCTATTTCTCCATCCATCTTCATGTGTTTCTCATCCATCTTTTTCATTAGTTCATCCTTCACCTCTTTCTCCATCCCTCCATCCTTTCCCAATGTTTCTCGATCCACCACTCATCCTTTTTCACCTATTTCTCCAATCCATCCATCCTTTCCACTGGTTTCTCCATCTGTCCCTTCATCCATCCATTCATCTATCCATCTCCCCACCTATCTGTCCTTCACCAGTTTCTCCATCCTTTCCACTGTTTTCTCCAGCCAACCTTTTCAGTGGTTCATCCATCCATCCATCCTTCTTCACCTGTTTCTCCTTCCATCCATCTCACCGTGTTTCTCCACCACCCAACCCACCTCTCCATCCTTTTCACCACTTCCTCCTCCTACCCTCCACCCTTGTCCCTGTCCCCTACTCACAGCACTGCGTCCCCTGTCCCTTGCTGTCCTTGTCTCCTCTGGCAGGATGGGCACAGAGCCCACAGAGCTGGTCTTGCAGGCTCCCCGGTGCCGTCACTGTCACAGCACCATCCCTGCCGTAGGCCACCCGCACGCCCAGGGCCGTGGTCACCAGCCGCTGGCCACCCCTTTGCCCCAGCTGCACCTTGCCCTTGGCCAGTGAGAGGGGCAGCAGGACAAGGCGCCCATCCACCTGCGAGAAGAAGGCACCAAGGCTGCCAAATGGGGGACAAGGATGCCCAAACACCTGGGTCCACTCCCCAGCCTGGGGTTAGGAGGACCTTGATGCCTGAGTCTGGTCTTGGGGTTGGAAGGATCTGAATGCCTGAGTCCCCTCCCCATCCCTGAGAAGGTGAGGGGCCCATTGCCACCACATCCCTCCAGCCACATCCCCCTGGGTTCATACCAGCTGCCAACCGTCCCCGTGTCCCATCCGGGGTCTAGTCCTCACCCTCGCCATCCTGTCCTCGCCTCGGAGCAGGATGACCTCGTAACCATCACCACGGAGCGTGACGTGGCTGAAGGAGGCAGTCGGCACCTTCTCGCTCCCCACCACCACGCGGAGGGCAGGCAGCTGATGGTGGGCACTGCAGATGGTCACCAGAGTGTGGGCACAGGGCCCGGGGAAGTTGTGGCTCTTCCCATCGAAGGCGCGAAAGTGCGAGCGTCCTGAGACGTGGCAGACGAGCGGAAGCTGCGAGACGGGGAGGCACTTGGGTGAGGTTTCCACCATCTGGCACTTGGTCCCCTTCGGGCAATGCACATCATTGCAAGAGGGCTTGTTGGGCACGCATTTGGGCCAGTTCTCCACCATCTGGCACGTTGTTCCTGCTGGGCAAGGCACGTCGCTGCAAGACAGTTTGTTGGGCAGGCACTTGGGTGAGTTTTCCACCATCTGGCACGTGGTCCCCTTTGAGCAATGCATATCTTTGCAAGATGGCTTGCTGGGCAGGCACTCGGGTGAATTTTTCACCATCTGGCACGTGGTCCCCTTCGGGCAATGCACGTCATTGCAAGATGGCTTGTTGGGCACGCATTTGGGCCAGTCCTCCACCATCCGGCACGTGGTCCCTGCCGGGCAATGCATATCTTTGCAAGACGGCTTGTTGGGCACGCATTTAGGCCAGTCCTCCACCATCTGGCACGTGGTCCCCACAGGGCAATGCATATCATTGCAGGATGGCTTGTTGGGCACGCATTTAGGCCAGTTCTCCACCATCTGGCATGTGGTCCCTGCAGGGCAATGCATGTCTTTGCAGGATGGTTTGTTGGGCACGCATTTGGGCCAGTTCTCCACTATTTGGCATGTGGTGCCAGCCGGACACCGGATAGACTCACAGGAGAGCTTATTGGGCACACATTTGGGCCAGTTCTCCACCATCTGGCACGTGGTGCCCACGGGGCACCGGACGGTGCTGCATGTGGGCTTGTTGGGCATGCACTTGGGCCAGCCCTCCACCATCTGGCACGTGGTGCCTTCCAAGCAGTGCACCGTGGCGCATGTGGGCTTGCTAGGCATGCACTGAGGCCAGCCCTTGGCTACCTGGCACTCCATCCCTGGTGGGCAGCGGACGCCGTCGCAAGAGAGCTTGGGGGGGACACAACGGGGGATGCCCTCCACGATGCGGCAGACGGTTCCAGCCTTGCAGAGGACACCAGAACAAAGCGATGGTGCCAATGGGGGGCTCCTCACCATGCGCACGCACTTCGGCCACCCCTGCACCACCCGGCACGCCATGTCGCCTTGGCACCGCAGGTCCTGGCATGAGGGGATGCGGATGCACCGGGGCCACCCGTTGATGATCTTGCAGCCCATCCCCGCTTGGCAGTGGAGGTTCCTGCACGAGGGCCGAGAGACGCAAGAGGGATGGCCGTGCACCATCACGCAGGTGGTGCCGGGCTTGCAGGGTGCGTGCTGGCAGGAAGGAGGGAGGGCCACGCAGCGTGGAGAGCCAGCCACCACAGCACATGCCATCCCGTCTGGGCAGAGGAGCGTCAAACAAGAAGGTGGAGGCAGAGGGATGCAGACGGGGCCACCAGAAATCACTTTGCACCCAGCACCCTGGGGGCAGTGGATGCCTTTGCAAGATGAGGGGGTAAAGGAGGCCTGTGGGGGAAAAGGCAGGACGGAGGCCAGTTGCTCCGAGGAGGCAGCTCTGAAGAGGGGATGGTTGGACAGACATCGGGGCCAACCCTCTGTAACTGTGCAGATGGTACCCTTGGGACATCGGATGTCCTGGCAGGAGAGCTGGCTGGGGACACACTGGGGCAAACCATCAACTACCTTGCATGTGGTCCCTTTGGGACAGTGAGTGTTGCTGCAAGAAGGTTGTCTTGGATATGTCTTGATTTGCACACAGCGGGGCCAGCCATCAACACTCTGGCACGTGGTTCCCTTCTGGCACTGGATGTCACTGCAGGAGGGTTGACTGTGGACACACTGGGGCCAGCCATCTGTCATCCTGCACGTGGTCCCTTTGGGACACTGGATGTCCTTGCAAGTAGGCCGACTCTGAACGCACTGGGGCCAACCATCTATGATCCTGCATGTGGTTCCCTTCTGGCACTGGATGTCACTGCAGGAGGGTTGACTGTGGACACACTGGGGCCAGCCATCTGTCATCCTGCACGAGGTCCCTTTGGGACACTGGACGTCCTTGCAAGAAGGTCTCCTAATGGCCGTCTTGGTTTGCACACAGCGGGGCCAACCATCAATGATCTGGCACGTGGTTCCCTTCTGGCACTGGATGTCACTGCAGGAGGGTTG